CTGGGTGCCAGTGACAGAACATAAAACATAGAACACTTTGACAAGCGAATAACATATCATAAAGTATCAGTTGCCTTCTCACGACGCTGGGAGTTGGACACAGACCAAAGACAAACATTCAGTATCAGGTCATGAGGCCGAAAGGTCCACTGGCATGAAAGGAAACGCCTGGAGTTATCGACCGCATCTGGTGCAGGTGCGGGCAAAGCAATTACGTCGGGTAAACTGGGAGATTATTTCTGAGACGAGTGGCTGAAAATACAACAGCAGTGAAAAGGGATGAGGCTAACTTAAAGTTCGCAGTTCATCCGATGGAAAGCGAAGCCAACAACGACCACAACGATAGCCCAACTCCCGAGAGTCACTCGCTGTACCTTGGCTTAACTAAGCAGTGGCTAATCAATGTTCCTTCGCCGGTACCAACGCCGACAGTTGCCCCGACTGTGGCGTTTCTCCGCACGACTGTCAGCATCTTTTCGTCTGCGATTCCCGGCCAAGCACCTAACTCACCCCCGTGGACCTTTGGCTAAAGCTGGTCGAGGTCTCGGCTTTTCCCCGTCTTCTAACTACAACTAGTTTTGACTCCGGTGGGGACTCTTGATCCAACAAGGGCTACAACACACACAGAGCGACAGCCGCAATCTGATTGAGTCACTGTTTTCTGGATCACCGTCAATTGTAAATCTCAATGACATCTTGCCTGAATATTGTGTGCTGCTATTTTGCCTGAACACAGTAGTTAGCAAAGGGGAAAGGATGCAGATGACTATCAGTTTTGGTGATAGCGAGTCAAACTGCCAAGTATTTGTCAGGTAACGAATCAACAATGATGATGAAATAAGGGCTAGCAACGCCTCACTGCCGACTAGAAAGACATCAGCGCGGTGAACATGAGTATTGATAATTATTTTAGGCCGTTAAGTTTATTATATCTGCATTCTTCAAATACTGCACTCCTTCTGCCTCCAGAACCCTTATCTGTGACTGTCTATTATAATGATTTTGAGTGGGAATCCAAAATGTAATGCCAATAACCTTGTTGTTCTAGCGATCTTGTTTTGAAATCTTCCCAGGAACTCCTCTATTTGCTTCTATCGACAAAACACCATGCTAAATTGTGATGCAACGTGCGCTG